TTACTACAACAAATTGTTTCTTGCTCTTCCAAGAGACCAAGTCGCCCTCTATGAACATGTAGTATCCAGAGGTGGATCTTTTGTCATTTGCACAACTCACCCAATCAACATCACAATAGCCCTCAATGTCTACATGTTCATTCTTCCTAAAAATTAACCGCTTTCCTGGTGCACTTTTCAGGTATCTCAGAATCTGATACACTACGTTCATATGACCCTTCCTTAGATCGTGCGTATAGCGGCTCACCGCACTCATTATAAATGAGATATCGAGACGTGTGCGAGTCAGATAGATCAGATGACCCACCAATCTCTGATATCTCTCACGATCAATTGGCTCATGCCTCTACACGCAGTTTGGTTATCTGATCAATTGGAAAGACTACAAGCTTACATCTCAACATGTTTGTTTCTGCGAGGAGATCAAGCACATACTTTTTCTGAAACAAGACCATCCCCTTTAGTTCACGAGCGACCTCAAGCCCAAGGAAGTATCTGATTTGTCCAAGGTTCTTCACCTCAAATTTTTTGCCTAGTCTTATTTTTAGTTGAACAATCTTCGTTTCATTATCACTAGTGTTAATCATGTCATCAACATATATAACAAACAAAGTGATGTGACGATCATTTTGACAATAGAATACCGTATGGTCATCATTGATCTGCTGATATCCCATAGTCACCATGACTTTTCTAAAGCAATCAAACCAGGCTCGAGGAGGCTATTTCAAGCCATAAAGTGACTTTCGGAGCCTGCACACCTTGCCCACTATTTGACTTGTACTGAAACCTGATGGTATGTCCATATACACCTTCTCTAGTAACTCCCCATGAAGAAAAACATTCTTCACATCGAGTTGGTGTAACTTCCACCCATCATTCACAGCCATAGAAACTAGTGTCCTCACTGTGCTCTTTTTTGCTATCGGTGGAAAGTTCTCATCATAGTTAATGTCATAAGTCTGACTGTACCCCTTCATCATCATTCATGACTTGTAATGTTCTACTTTTTCTTGTGAATTTCGTTTTAATATGAAGATCAACTTGCGCTCAACTGTCCTTTTCACCGCTGGTAATGGTACTATCTCTCACGTCTTGTTCTTATCGAGAGCACCAAGTTCCTCCAACATTGCAGCCTTTTGCTTTCACTCCTCAGTTATCTACTAACACTTGAGTATAGAGAAAGTGTCTAAAGATGCAATGAATGCTTCGGGAGCAGGCGATATGGTAGAGTATGAGACAAACTGAGCAATCTCATGTGAGAAACCAAAGCAATCCTGAGAGCAACGATCAAGAAAACAGCCCGCATTGATGCGGGGGTCCTCCTTAAAGCCATGAGAGTGGGAGAAAGGAGAGGAGTCATATCACCTGAATAATTGGATTCGGAAGTAGGTGTAGGTGTCTTAGGAGTCGGGGTAGATCGGGACAAAAAATTTGATGACACGAGTGGTACGATTGACACTTTTGCCTTATTCTACCTCCTTTTTGAGCTTGAATCCCTCCACATTCAGGCTCATTTTTCTCATTTTTTGACACTTTCTTAGCCGATCATTCCCACACAATGGGACAAGGTATCGTTCCCACATGTATCAATCTCTGACCATCAATACTCTCCCCCACACGCCCCATATCTCTAGTATCTGATGAGTCATCAAATGATGATGTTACCTCCAGGGTGTCGTACGGTTCAAGCTCTCTAAATGACACATCAATTCTCACAAGCAATCTCTTCTCTATCGAACTCCAACAAGCATGCCCCTTTTGGGTAGCAGAATAACCCACAAATACACTTCACATCTCTAGGATTCAGCTTCCCCACTTATGGGTCTATTGTCCTTCACAAAACATACACAGTAAAAAATCTTCAATGGAAGGATTCCACTAGTATCTCCTTTCAACATCTAACAAGGAGACTTTCAATTCAACATTCTCAAGAGCATTTTGTTGATCAATTGAACCACTGTCAAAACTGCATATGATCATCATGCTTCGAGCTTCCTCTAGGTGTCTATTCTTCCTATTTGCTACTCCGTTTTGTGTCGGTGTCTATCAATATGTGGTTTGATGATGTATCATTTGGGCTGACAAGTATTCCCCAAACACCTATTTTTATACTCTGCTCCATTATTAGACCTCAATACCTTCACTGTAGCACCGTATTGAGCTTAAATTGCCCTATGAAAGTCTTTAAAGCTGACAATCACATCACTTTTATTTCTTATAAGCTATAATCAAGTAACATGAACAAAACAATCAATGAAAGTCATAAAATATATGTAATCATCCATCAAAGTTTTAGAACATGGTTCTCATATTTCTGAATGTATCAAATAAAAAATATAAAACCTTCTTTTACCAGAATTAAGATAAGAGCTCCTAGTATGCTTGTTAAACTCCCAAGCATCACGCAAGTTCTTGTTTATTTGTCTTTTCATACAAGGATGGATACAAACGACTCAATAAAATAAACGAAGAGTATCTCATGCACATGTGATGTAGCATCAATACATCCTCCACACTCATCTCGGATCTTCTTGCTTCAACATTTTCAACCATGGATGTCAAGGCTGAGTCCATCCCCTCTCTTTCCAAGTACCAAAGTTTACTATGCCACGTTTTAATCTCAAGTTTCCGACCAGTTCTCTTCTCTTGGAAGATCACCTTTGGAATATCAAATTAAACAACACATTTTAATTGTAGTATAATGACACTAATAGATAAAATGTTCACCTAAAAGAAATGAGCATGCAAAATATTGGACAAAGTCATAGAATTGGTACACCTCATTGTATCTTCATCAACCACAGACTGTGTCGCCCTATCAGCGGTCTGAATGCTCTCTGAAACTGCTAGGTGAGTATAGGAAGAGAACTCATTAGCGGCACCCGTCACATGTCGAGAAGCACCAGAATCTACTATCCATCCTGGTGAACTTGTGGTGGATATAGAAACAAGAGCATGTGTATCACGAGCATCTTTGGCTGAGTGAGCATAACTAGCAATGTTCCCCTTGGATGATGATAAGATGGATGCATATTTAGTGACATCACATGTCACTTTGCTTTCTCTTCAACATCTCCAGTAACTTGTGATCCTCATCAGTAAAGATCGTTTTTGTCTTTCCCTCGTTCTCTGCTTCCATCTGATTTGCCTAATAGTCCCCTCTAGGTGATCCACGTCCACTCGCTTCTCTCTCCTTAGGTGTCTTTAGACAAGCTTTGCTCAAGTGTCGCACTTCTCCATAGTTGTAGCATATGTGTGTCTGCCCCTGGATACCTGTAATACCTGAGCTTGATGCGGCCATTTCCTTGTTGTCGTCCTTCCCGTCACAATTGTTCGCGTGAACCAAGAGCCATAGAAGTCTCATGCCCCTTCTTTAACTCTTTTGCTTGAAGCCGTAGTCGTTGTTCTTGCGCGACACAATCCAACTGAAGCTTCGCCTACTTTCCTTGCACGACTCTGTTGATCACACACCAATTCAAACTGTCTCTGCTCTCATGCTGGAGTCATACAGAAAATCCGCACGAAGCCCCTTCTCCACTTGTTTTTTCAGGGATAAGAAAATATGGATTATACGGAGGAATGATAGTTCTCCCTAATCTAATCAAGAGGAGATAAAAGAGCTGGTGTTCTTGCTCTAGGGAATAGTGCCCATTAAGATTTTGGATAGCCTCTAGATGTTTGCCCCAAAGTGTGAGAGAGAGAAGAGAGCCTTAGTTAGGCCTCCTTGGCAGAGAATTGAAGAGGAGAGAAATTCAGGAGGAAAATCATTCAATTGCTTCAAGTTTAACTCCTATACCGTATGACCTATTTATATAAAAATATTAGTCAATCCTTGAGTATCTATAATTCTAACTTAATGCACTAATTTTAAGAATTTTTATTCTAAGTTTCCTACATCCATCCAAATTATGAATAAACATGGTCTAAATCAAAGGAATATTCACATAGGTCTCTCTATAAAGGGTGCCTGGCCTTGTAGAAATAGGTAGAGAAATTTTGTGAGTATATTGGGTAATTTCTCGACTTCCTTCACATAAATCTCTAATGCCTTTTTTTTGGCGGCCATTTTTTGATTTGAAATTGCAATTTCACCTTTTATCCCCGCAAGTTTTATGTGTAAATTTATTCTCACAATGTTAAACTTGTATTTATTTATTTATTTTTGACTTCTTTTGTAGAAAGCCTCCCGTGTCTGATATTTCTAAGAAAATGCTTAGATCACTATATAATTGAACTGGCATATGATTATTATCGTCATTGCCATTGATCATTGAAACTGAAATTTCTTGAATGTCAGCACGTGGGTGCATTTAATGTTTTGGTATTCCATTTTTTTAGTTATTAGATTTCCAATCTCCGATCCAGGATTGCTCATCTTTAAATGAGTCTCTAGTAAAACTAGAAACGACAGTATAAAATGATTATAATTAGAAAATTATGTCAGAGTAGCATGTATGGTGGCTAAAGCGATGAAAAATATATCTGTGGTTCATTCACTTCGGGCATGCATAATGCAGACAATAATGTCTGCATCAATTAGGTTTTTATAGTCATAATCTGAACAATATGAGAAGAAAAGTCTGAATATAAAAATTCTATAAAGCTAATACTTCATGCTATACACTAAACTGAAGCTAATAATGATGAATGTGCTAAATCAGTAGTGCTGCATACTTTTCATGCCTTTTAGTAGCGGAGAAATCCAATGAAACATTTGCAATGTTCACAGGTCTGATATGGGCAATTAAAAAAAATTTTATTTCACTTGAAAATCTGATGATCTGCACTAAAAAGGTTTTTTGGCAAACCAAAATTTTATCATAATAATACTCGTCAACTTCCTTCCAATTTGCTCATCTACATAAGTTCAAATTTGATTCATTCCTCCATTCATTCATTCCCATTTTTACCTATGCACTACAAATCAAGTCGAGTCCACCAAAGTCCTGTTGATAGCTCTCCTCTCAAACTCGTTCTGTTCATCTGTCCTGCACCAGTTTTCTTGGGAAACTCCCGCCGTCGTTCCCTTCGATCTGGACCGATTCCTGGTTCGCAATGCGAAGCGTGATGAAAGTCAAGACATTTCAGATAATAGTCCTGCAGGGAGTCGTTGGTTCTTTGCCATGGACTGCCATGGTGTTCTTCACCATGTGGTTTGAACTCATCGGTAAGCTCCAATTATCCACTAATCAAAAGTTTTCCATTCCACATGTCTTATTCTTGTGTTTCTTCTCCCCAGGCTTCGACAACAAGAGTTCCGCTGCTCTCACTAGTCTCTTTGCAATTGGCTGCGCCGCCGGTTCATTTCTTGGAGGATTCCTTGCTGACCGCGCCTCCGTTTTATATCCCAATGCGGGCCGAATCATGTGTGCACAATTCAGTGCCTTCATGGGCATCCCTTTCTCCTGGCTCCTCCTCTCCACCATTCCTCAATCAGTCGACAGCTGGGCCGCCTACGCCGCAACTCTCTTCCTCATGGGCACCACCATCAGTTGGTGCGCTTCGTGTGCCAATAACCCCATGTTCGCCGAAGTCGTCCCGATCAAGCATCGGACAATGATATACGCCTTCGATAGGGCCTTCGAGGATTCATTCTCTTCATTCGCCGCTCCGGCAGTCGGAATGCTAACAGAACGAGTGTATGGTTATGATTCTAATGTTGTGAATGGTTCTGTTAATCAGGCAATTGCGCTTTCGAGAGGTTTGTTGTCGATGATGACCGTGCCTTTCGGGCTGTGCACTTTGTTTTATACCCCGTTGTATGTTGTGTTCAAGGGAGACCGCGATGGCGTGAAAATCGCGGGTTTGAAGGAACAGGAACTGATTTAGAGAGTCAGATTGCTTGATGAATTTATAATTCAATCCAAATTTCACAAATATGTGGTGTTTGGGATGGGATTACTCATTGCATCTTAAGTTCTAATGTTGATTTTTTGGGATTTTTGTAGTGCTGAAGGAATTTATAATGGGTATTTTGCAGAGAATGTAAAGAGTTGTAATGTCATCCATCATAGAAAGTTTCTTTTTAATATGTGGTGAGGAATAATAGCTTATGTTGTAACTTTTATATAAGATGCTCATTTCATTCACTTGTAATGTCAATTTTACATGATGTGTGCTTTATTATTTGTGGTATTCAATATTTACATGTTGATAGTTTTATATTTATATGCATAGCTCTTAAATCTTCTCAACATCAAATATATCACCATTGTTAATTTTATAAGAGTTAAATTCATATTTTCATGTATAGAGGTTTAACACCAGTACTATTAATGTAAATATTAAATTTTAGGTGCTAGATATGTAAGTACATAAGAATTGTGTTATTTGTGTAAATTTTTTTTATTTTTGGCTTTTTAAATGTAATAAAACTATTTGCTATGATGGCTGCTTATTTTGGTCCCAACATAAAAATGACTTCTGTGTGCTGCATTTATTTTAGAATAGTTTAGTGAAGGCAAGTGGCCTCTAGAAAACATGTACAACATTGTGTTGTATGATATGAAAATATTCAAGTCTTTCAGAGGAATTATTCTATTGGATTGCGTTACATTATGTAATGTTATATTGTACAAAAAGTTGTGGTGGTTATTATTAATATTAATATATTTTTTTTTTGAAAAAGTCAGATAGCGGTTAGAAAACTGTAACAACATCTAGTCAGGATTGGTGGGAAAAACATAGTTTTCAGCAGCTGTTTTTTGAAAAAGCTGCTAAAATACAGTTTATCCTAACGGATAAAATTGCGGTGGCCGAACTGTTGCCCCAAACAGACCCTAAGTCTTACATACATATGCAAGACGATTATAAAGTGGATGTAAATACTACATTCATCAAAATTATATTAGTAGAGTTGTTGATAAGGCCATTATATTAAATTTAAATTGTTAAGTTTGATAGGTGGCCGATGCGAATTACAAATATATATATTTTAAAAACTGTGATGATAATTACAAATATATTAGTTGCAAAAAATGTATTTTCATTGCTAAAATTTTTAGGAAATATTTGTGTAGGTCAGCTACTGAAATAAAGTAATTTTATTATGTTAAATTTTTAATCTAAACAAAATAAAGAGAGAATTAAAACAAAAAAAAATAATAATAAGTCACATAAAATAAATGAAATAATTCAAAAGATTATTCTTATTAAATTTAAATAAAATATTAAAAAGTGATTTTTATAAAAAAAAATATGTACCCTTCTAGACTGCAATCATTATCCATAATTCCCAACCAAACTAATAATCAGTTGAGGAATGAATTAAAGAAGACAGCTTGCCGCTGGGCAACCACCAACCAGCAAATAAGGGAATGCCCAACAGTCATTTATTTTTTTTGTCAAATAAGCAATTATTATTCATCATATA